TTTAAAAGTTTGAAAAAATTATTTAAAAATTCAGAAAATTTCATTTTGTAAACGTGTAACGTATTAAATTTTAACTAGTGTACCATTCTAGGACCACAGAGATCGATCTATGTCATTTCCTTTACAGACTTATCTAAATTCTGTAATCCTTGACATTAACTCTGTACTACCCACCAACCAAAAAACCAAAGAATCATAAAACATATCAAATCCGCCCAAAAATAACTCAAAATAATAATCGAAACAATCTCGGCGAAACATGCAACCCCTGCGGCATTTAAACTTGTGTTAAAGACAGGCGGAAGTTTTTTCTTCTCCTAGCTAGACCTTCCGAGCATTACAAGTTTGGGCCCGCGTATTATATTATATGAAAAATGAAGCTCAAGGGTGTTGAAAAGGCGACGGAAAACAGAGGAACGTCACGGCGAAAAGATGTTTCTCACTTAATATTTAAATTAGATATTCTTTTTGGCGATGAATTAGTTTTGGCTCGTAATTAAATGGGAATGGCAGGAGTTCTGACACAATCTGAGATGGATGGAAAGAAAGTTCTTGCGGTTTAGAGAAAATGGTGAAAACAAAGTTTTTGCAGTTTTTAAGGGGAGGGGGGGAGGGGGTGGTTAAGCTAGGGTATAGCAAAGTAATGTATAATAAAGTAGGGTAGGACAAAATAGGGTAGGGTAGGTTACAGAAGGGTGCACTGAAAGGTCTTGCAATAAAGAGTAAGGTACGGTAAAAAAGAATGGAAGGAAAGTTCTTGCGGTGCATAGCTAAGTAGGGTAGAATAGTTAAAGGTGGAAAGAAAGTTCTTACAGCTCAAATTTTTTTTAAACTTGAAAATAAAGTTTTTGCAGTGTAACAATATTTTTTATCTTGAATTTTTATAGCTGGAAAGAAAGTTCTTACGGTTTGAAAAAACATTTTTTGTGGAAACCCTGTCCTACCCCAACTTGCCGTACGTTACCTTACCTTATCTTACCTTACCTTAATTTACCTTGCCTTACCCTACCCTACCCTACTGTACCCTGAGTTACACACAAAATTAAAATTTTCAAAAAATTCCAAAATCCCCCCCCCCCCCACTCCGTAAATACGGTATAATTAAACTTTTCTAGGCCGAAAAACCTTTTGCTATTGGACACGAAAAACAAGTTGTTTTTGAAGCCTTTAATGGCATCTTAAGTTTTCATTGTACTCTTAAGAGTTCAGACATTTGTTTATTTTTCCGGTACTCAAACAAGCGAATGAGACAATATTCAAGCGTACTATTAAAAAATAGCAAAAACTTTGTTGACACGAACGTTAAACATCAAAAGAGTAAATTTTTTGCCGACAAAATTTTATAAAAACACTAGTTTTTAGGGGTATAGGTAAAGCTTTAGGGGTAGAAGTAGAAAAGACGAAGGAAGAGTAGGGTGGGGTAAGGCAAAATAAAGCAATGTAAAGTAAATTGGGGCACGGTAGAATTCAACGTATTTAAAAAACGCGCATAGAGATAAGGTAGGGTAAAATTCATACTAAAAATCGACGTACAAGCCTTTAAAAATAAAAAAAAAACGCTAAAACCCCAAAAAATTTTTGAAAATTTGTCCAATTTTTATAAATACAGTTAAAAAATGCCATAATAAACTATTAAAACAAAAATTGTTTTTCTTTACCTTCTAGACCATAAAATTGCTTGAAAGCATTAAAAATTGGAAAAAAGAACCGCCACATTGACCATGAATCAAGAACGTCCCCGCTTAGACTTGAACAGCCCATCTGACCGAATTAAACAAAACCTAGCGCCGGTTCAAACCGAAAAAAAATTTTGAAGCCCCTGCCTGTAGTCTGCAAGCCTAAGAGCCAACCTAAATCCTCGCTCTAGGGGCCTAGCAACAAATTAAAAACGGATCAGACCCTCGAGACCAAAAGCTGGCACATTTGATCCCCAGAGCTTGGACCCAAATCAAAGCCGCAAAATTAGGCCCTACCCCTATATAAGTATACCATCTCACCTAAATCCAAGCCCTCAAAACATATTTTAAAAAATAACATATGTAACCCACTAGAAAACTGTAACCCGCGACCAGACTGAAAAATAGAAATTCTTGTTATTACAACAAAAATACCCGCCATTGTCTACAGAGTACGTTCTACAATTTAGTTTCGGCCCAAATCACGCAATAAATCCGACTTATTAAAGTTAGAATTCAGTTCCGTTTCTATGCCCAGCGGCTACAAAAACATATTTTCGTGGTGCGGACAAAACAAATATTAAGGCTGATAAGGCGAAGTTTTTGAATTAAAGCACATAAGACAATGTTTTTTTTAATATAGGACTTTTTCACAGAAATTTTTTTAAACACAGTTTACAAGTACTGTACTTTCTAGCCACTGTACACTCAAAAAATATGATTTATAAGCCTTTCTATAGCAAAACCTTACTGTCACTTTTAGTGAATCTTCTACCCCAATACTTTCACTAACAAGCTTATACGTATTCCAATAAAAATAAAGTCCAATGATCTACTACAATATATCATATCATATAAATAAAGAGAAACATTAAAAGTTATTTTTCCTCAACATACTACAATATGAGTACCAAGAAAAACCCGCCTTAATTTGGTTTTATTCAAGTCCTAATGCATTAGGCTTTGTTAGAAAATTATTTTAGAAGCATTAAAATAACAAAAAGTAAATTCCCATAGTTGCTAAACAATCAAAAGTCACACAACTATTGAAAATGTTACAGTATGGCAACCCACATAAAATGAAAAAAACGTAAGAAAAAAAATAAAAAAGTCTACAGTTAGGTCTAGGCTAGAGCTAAGACTTTAGCTTTCAAAGAAAAATTAATGGCATGGCTAAGGAAAAGCTAAAGTAAGGCTAGGGTTAGACTAAAAAAAGTTAAGGCAAGATTAACGTAATGCTAAAGCTAGGTTAAAGATTTACTGAAAGTTAAGAGGTACAGCTTAGATTAAAACATAGGCCAATGCAGAATAAAAATTAAGCTGGAGCTTAGGCTAGAACTTAAACCAGAGCATAAGCAAGGGCCTGGACTATGGCTTAGACTATGTTCCAGTTTGCGCCTAAATTGTCCGGGCTGGGATTTAGGCTACAGATTAAACTTAGGCTATGGCGGGCTCAAGCTAAATCTCAGGCTAGGGCTATGTAAAGCTAAAATACGGCTTGTGAAAAATTTCAAAGCTATATAAAAATTGAAAAACGTAATTTATCTATTAAAAATTGAAGCCCACCATAGATAATATAACAGTACTTAAACCCAAACTGAAAGGTTTCTGAAAACATTTAATCTTATTTCGATGGTTCCAGAATGAACAATCATGTGACGCTAAACGTTTTTACTGTAGCAGCGTGACACTTTTTTGCAATTCAAAGTTAAAAAATTAAAACAAAATTAGAGGAAAAAACTAGACTTTCGATACCTAACACGATACGTGATACTCAGCCACAACAGCGTAGATTACTGTTAAGCGGCTAAAAATGTTAAGAAAAACAAAAAATACTGGTAAATAAACAAGAATAACACTATTAACAAAGCAATTCTACGTCAGCCATTAACAAATCTTACAAATTTTAAGCGGTTGACCTTTAGGTAACATTTACAATTTAAGAAATGTATTACTTACTATTGATACACTATTGTCTTTGGTACTCTGCAGAGTAAAATTTCAAAATTTGGTTTTTAGGACTGTAATGGCCAAAATATTTTTATTTTTAAAACATGTCATTTAGGAGTAAAATATAAAATGACATTTTTAACCATACCTCACCCTAAAATGACTTTTTTAACTGTACCTCACCCTAAAATGACGTTTTAACCATACCTAACCCTAAAATGATACTTCAAACCCTCTAAAATGACCTTTTAAACCTAAAAGTACATTTTGAGTATTATACTACCTACCCCTAAACTGACATTTTGAGCCCTACCTTCCCCTATTTTTTCATTCGTACTAAAAAAATATGAATTGGATATCGTTTATGTTATTAAGAATGTCTGCTCAAGTGGTAAATATAATGCAAGTATCTAATATGACAATAATAAGCTCATGGTAATTAAATTGACCGTAATATAGGTTGGAGGGGAAAATGAAAGCAATTTTTGTGCAAAAAATTTAAAAATTTAATTTTTAAAAATTAAAATTTTTTTTAAATTGAAAATATTTAAAGTTCCTTAATAGTACACAAATTTGTCACAGTAAGGTCTTCCCAAACATACGAAGCCAAACTCTGAAAGATGTTCTTATTGACAAAGAAGTCATCTTGCATTAAGCTCACGCTAAATGAGCACTAGTGCAACAAAGTATAAAAAAAACTTTTTCAAGGCTTTCAAAAATCAAAAGTGACGTTTCTAGGCTTAATTTGTGACATTAAGGTTAATTTTTTAACTTGATCAAAAATCGAAATATTTTTTTAATATTGGCCCACCCTATTAAGTACGTAGATAATATAAGAACAGTTACACATATTTCTTATTCTCGTATTTTACAATACCATACTCAAATTTAAAAAATTTTTTACTTTTCACTCTCACGACATTACCACAGCCATATAAATATCTTACTGGAAGCCTACCCTACCCTACGCTAAGCTATTCATTTCATAGTATTAGGTTGGCAAGAAAAGAATGTCATATCTTGTCTACGCTACCCAACCATACTTTATTCTGTCCTACTTTACCCCACCCTATCCTACTTTATCTGTCTCTACTTTGCCGTACCTTACACTCGACCTGTCCTGCCCTAATTAACTCTATTCTACCATAATCTACTTTACAGTACACTGAAATTTCAACTTTATAAACCTTTAAGATCATACCTTGCCATACTTTATCCTAAATCAAATAGCTTATTTTTCAACCCCCAAATCCCATTAAGTTCACCCAAGAAAGCAGATTCTTCTTTTTAATTTCTAGCCTCAAAGATTCCCATGCCCATTCTCAGGCCGCCAAAGAAATTGAGAGAGATAATTGGCCTGCCAAGTTTTAATTTATGCAAACTTTAAATAAGTGGCAAGCATGCGAGCCCACATTATTCTGTTCGGTAATTGATTGTACTTGTAAACAGACGACATTAGACATTGTGTCGTATGTTCTTTGGTTTTACAGTAATTACCACAGTTTTAGGAATTGACATCGCGGTGCATGGCAGGGATAGGCGCAAGGGCAAGGCAGGGACTGAGCTTGAAAATCTTTGTAGATAGGGCATGGCTAAGAAAAAGCCAGGGCAATGCTAAAGCAAGCCTAGTGCAAACCTAGGGCTAAGCCAGGGCAATGCTAGAGCAAGCCTAGTGCAAAGCTAGGATAATTCTAGGCCAAGGCTCTAAAGCAAGGCTAGATAGATCAAAGCTAGGGCAAAGCTAAGACTAGTTTAAACCTTGGCTTGGCTAGGACTAGACTAGAGCAAACAAGCCAACAATAAAAATTTTGAAAAATTCAAAATTTCAAATTTTAAAAAATTAAAAATCAGAATTTAATCAAAATTAATTTCAGCTGTGCGTCCGACGCAATATACGCCAAATGGAAGACAGAACAGACATTTACCGGTCGAGTAAACGTCCGTTTCGCCCCAAACCGATATTGTTATCAAGTCCTCGTAACCAACAATCAAGTCGAGCTCCTCATACCTCACCTGGACTGTCGTATCAGTAGGATACGAAGCTCCAAACCCGAAGGTATCCTACTTGAAGCTACTGTGCTACTATCCTTTCATCCTGAGTTCGTAACCGAAGCCGACCGACTGTTCGTACTCCGATGTCTGCATACTCGAAATGGCTCCGAAATGGGCACCGGAGTACCACAACCATTAACTATGTCAACCCCGGTTACTACGGTGGAAGAGCAAGACAACTCGGTGGAGAAAGTTGCATTAACATGTTCGTATGTTGTTAAACATGACAAAAGTGGTGAAATGATTCGCACGGTGAGGATTGGCACGCCAGTACGACATGAATGGGAATGTGAAGGTGCGAGACCAAATCAATGTTTAGTGGTGACGAGTTGCTTCATAAAGACTACAGATTCACAACATGAACTGATAGATCAATATGGCTGTAGTAAGGACTTAAGCTTGATCAGCCCATTGGAGTATCAGGGAAATGTAAGTGTATAAACGTCAGGTAATATAAAATAGAAAAAAATTCGCTTATAAATAGGAAGTATTCTCCCATTACTTCAATAAAAACCAACCAAAAAAAAATTTGCAAAAAATATTTCCCAAAAATTCTCCTCAAGGATAATATTTTCGCTGGTTATCCTTAATACCTTCGTAAATTTGAGATAAAAATATTCTCTATACCTTGTAAAATACATCTATTTTACTGAATTTTACTAGGTTTTATCAAAAACTCCACTTTCATCTCGTTATAGCCTATTTTTCAACCAAATTTCGAGAGATTTCGGCCGGACTCCAGCTAAAACAATATCGAAAGTCGATAATTAAGCGCGTTTCTAATAGTATTATTGTTGTTTTATGTTATATAATAGTCTCTTTAAAAAAAGTAGACCATTTCGTCCAAAAAAACGTTCATAATTTAGTTTTGTTTCAATGACTAAGCACCTTGATATTGTTTTAGATCAGTCAGTGTTTAGGTAAAAATAGAACATTTTGGCATGTTTTGAGGTCAGAAAAGAAGAAGAATTGTTAGAGAAATTATTGCTGAATGTTTGTAAATGCTTTAGGTTCAACTTTAAATTACATAACGTTATTCAAAGTGCCCATTTTATGAAAAACACCTAAATCAAGGTTCAAATCAGATAGCCATTTTGAATAACGCTATTTGAACTAAAATTCATTCAACCTAAATCATTTAAAAAATTCACAAATCTCTTACCTATCAATTCTCCTGGTTTCAAGCTCAAAAATATCCCAATAACTCCATTGTTACCTAAAAATTGATCTAAAACAATATCGAGGTGCTCAACCATCGAAATATTGCTCAATATTAAACAAGTGGTTCCAATGTTGTTAAAGAAACCATTCTCTAATCTAAAACAGCAATAAAAATATGAAAATCAACTTACCAATCCAGTTTTGAAATTGTTTGGCTTCAATCTGGCTGAATTAGACATGAGAAACGGGCCGGGCCGGCCTTGAGCAAAATTTAGATCGGGCCGGGCCTTGGAAAGGCGGGCCGGGCCTGGAAAAAAAATTTCTAAATTTTTTAAAATTTTTTATTTCAATCCCCGTTAATGTTTTTAGATTTTATTGGGTTCTATGATCCATAAATGATCTAAAAAAACAATTTAAAGCCAATTTTCCGTTTAGTTTTTAAGTTTTAAAATTTTTAAAATTTTTTTAAAACGGGCCGGGCCGGGCCTAGAAATTTTCTGATCGGGCCGGGCCTAAAAAGTTAGGCCCGGCCCGCGGGCCGGGCTCGAAAATTGAGCCCGGCCCGTTTCTCATGTCTAGGCTGGATTCCTCCAAATGTGGCCGAAGAGTTGGGTATAAGTTGATGAAAGTGGAGTTTTTAGTAAAACCTGGGGTAGATGATCAAAGTAAAAATATTTTGCAAGATATTGACAGCACTTACATTAGAAATGCGAAGAGAAATCAAGGAAAATGAACAAGAATATTAGTCTTGGAGAAAAGTCTCCGAAAATATTGTTTTTCGCGAGAATTTCGTTTCGGCGCGAATTTTAAATTTAAAACTTGACTATTTTTTGTAGGAAAATTTATAATTTTATGACTGTTTTGATAGTTTATAAGCCTTATAAACTGATTTATTTTTAGACACGAGTTCAACAAAGATCGCGGATATTTGGAGTAGCGGAGAAGCCATTCATATATTATCAATGCGGCCTCAATTTGGTAGATATTGGGCCGAACGAAAGCTGTCCCAGACCGAAATGTTCTGATCGGACTAGAAAAACGTATGTTTTATGTTGTAAAAGGAAAAATAAGGAAGATAAAGGGTTGGTAAGCTTTAGGGTGGACAAGGAAAAGTCTTGAATAAGGTAGAGAAGAGTAGGGTGAGGTAAGGGTTGAACAATCAATGTATGTGAGCGGAATGTAATTTTTTAGTAAAGTGGGGTTAAGTATTTTTTTCAAAAGATGAGGCTATTCAGGGTAAAGAAACCTTGTTTAGGATGTGGTAAGGTAGAATACTAAAGAGCATAGTAAATTAAGGTCAAATTAGAATAACTTTAAAACATGGTAGAGCAGAGTAAGCCAAAAAATCTATACTATGTGTACGAAGGATAGAAAAGAGCTTGGATAAAATAGGGTATGGCAAGGTAGGGCAGAATAATCTAAGACAGGAAAGCAACAAGGCGTATTTAGGACATGACTATGTTATAGTAGCTTTGGTCGACTTTTTGTAACAAAAAGCCTGCAATAACAAAATTTTTGGAAGTAAACCTTTGCCCCTTGTTCAACTTCTTTTGCAGACTAAAATATGTTTGTTTACACATGTGTTGCAGCTCTTTTACACGTTTTAATCTTCGTCTTGTTTTCAGACGATCCCCCTTCGCGTCGCTGTTTGACGCCGTCAGTCAGCAGATTGAAGTATTACCATTGGGCGTGCCGGAACGTTGGCCCGACCAGAAGTGTCCCCAAACGCTGAATCTGTCAGTGACCGAGTACAACGAACCGTTCCCGCTACAACAAGAGGGACATTTTTGTATGGCACTGCCAATGTTCTTCATTAGCGGCGTGGTTATTAGTCTGGTAAGGGTGGATTTTAAAATTTTTGATGAAAAACCTAAATTTTAAGTGTGAGCGGGTAAAATTACGGCAGAAGGGGTACGGTAGGCTTGGGTTTAAAAAATTGTTTTGAAGGGTGGTTTTAGCTTGGCAAGGGTTTTTTTTATTTTATTGTTGGGCAAGGTAAGTTGAAGTAGGGCAGGGCACTGCAGGGAAGGATATGGCGGGGTTCGGTAAAAAAAGTTAGGGTACGGCAAGACAAGGAATAACTGGGCAAATTAGGGTAGGGTAGGGTGGGGTAGAGTAGGGTAGGGTAGGGAAAGCAGTCGGTACGGTAGAAAAAAATTTTTTTTTTAAATTTTGAAATTTTAAAAATTTGAATAAAAATTCAATTTCAGCTCCTCCTAATCACCGGTAGTGCGATGGGTCTGCTGTATACGCGTCGGTACGTGTATCATGACGTTGCTCAAGCCTAGAATCTTGTTACCTAAATTACTTGTATGCTTTCTCCTTCCACGACACTCCAAGTGACAAACGAAACCGGTCTTAATCTACACGTATTTGTATATTATTGTTGACATTTACTGCCAATTTTAATCTGAGTTTTCTATTGTATATAATCTGTGATTACTGTATGTAAATGGGCTTTTATATCTTTAAATAAATGTAGGTTTATGTGAAGATATTTATGGATATTGTAGTATATGACTGCTTATTTATATCTACTCTTTTATGATTATGTATACCTACATCTATGTTCATATGTAAAAGCTGTATAACTTGTTTATAAATGTCTTATACCTATAGTACGCTTATATTTCTTTATATTATAGTAGTGCAATCTTGTTTTCAAAAATATTTTGTTAGGAATGAGCTTTAATGATTAGGAATGGTACTAACAATCCGTGGTACAATTGTATAAATAAAAACATAAAAAACTGTAATTGATGTTTTGCTTACCGTGTAATAATAGTCTATAAAGATTATGTAATGTACGTATATTTTTGAGCGGGCACTGTATTTTTTGTGGAAGTAGAGCATTTTAGGGAAGACTATGTCAAAGTAAGGTAGGTCGGGGTAAGCTAAAGTAGGGTAGGTTAGAGTAGGACAAGGTATGATAAAATAAATTTTTTTAAAAATTTTTCAACTTTCGAAAAAATTGAAATTTTGATAAAAGTTCAATTTTAGCGCTTTCTAGGGTAGGGTAAGACAAAATAGCAAAAAATGCCCAAAAACATATTCACTAGTTTATTATACATCTATTGAGCTTTTTGTTTCAGCCCAACTTTATTGTTACTACCATCATTCATGACAATATTTACAAAAGCTCGAACTATTCGAAACACTACTTTTAGCACGCAGTATAACATAAACATTAATACAGTTAATAGTACAAAATAAACAGCAATGAAATCAAGATTGTAGCCTCTGACAAAGCCTTGTGATCGAACAGGCAAATCCAAAGCTTCATGAACGTTGAAACGGATGGCGTGCTCAACGTGCCGTACAAATCGTTCTTTTGTTGAGATTGGCTTATTGTTCATCAAGTTCGACATTTCGGCCGCTTTTTGTCGAATTCTAAAATTTTTTTTAAAGTTTGTGAAGTACTGTAATTTCCAAAGTACGATAGAATCCAAAGGATGGTAAAGAAGGAAGATTAAAGGATAGTTAGGTAGGGTAGGATAAGGTAGGGTGTATGGCATGGTCGAGCAACGTCGGGACGAGTAGGATAAGGATATAAAGAAGGGTAAAGGCAAGGCAAAGACAGGCAAGCCAAGGAATTTTATTTAACAACTATACCTTTGGTCATGCATAACAGTGTCTAGTGCTTTTATTAGCTTCTCAGCAGTTACATCCGCTTTATCAATCATAATGGATATTCCATGAGCTTGAGCAGCTTGGCAATTCAAAGGTTGATCTCCAAACACAGGCATACAAACAGTAGGTACACCCATCTCAGCCGTCTCACTGATACTGTTCAGTCCACCGTGAGTTATGAAGGCCAGAATCTTCTTGTTTCCCAACAAATCATGTTGTGGTACCCAGGGGCGTTTGAATAAGTTTGTCACATTAGCTCCGACCGTGTCTTCTACTTCGTATTTCCAAATAAAATTGATTTTTGGGTAACTTTTGAAGGTATCGACCAAAGCATCACTCAATTGTTTTGGCATTTCTGAAGCCTTGGCTACAGTGCCAAATGAAACTAGTACTACACCTTCTTCAGCACTATCTACGATGTTTTGAATGTCTTGATTTAGAGAATTAACTGGCATTGATTTTGAGTTTTTGCCTCCAACGTACAATATTTTAGATGAGATTGGCTGTTGATGAGTTAGATATTCATCAGCGTTGATGAAAAAGTATGAACTTTGTGCCATTTTTTCTTTGATATCAAAAGTTAGATTGCTCAAAGATTGAATGACATTTATGGTTGGACCATAAAGGTTTTTACGTTGGGTGTAGGTGTTGAGGTAGTGGCGATATAAGGCTGTTATACGTTCAATGAAGGTCGGGAGGGGGCTTAGTTGGTCACTCCAGTCTTAAAAAGTTTACTATAACGTACTATAGGTCAAGCTGCTATTCATTAGTACTGTACTGAATAGTATTAGTCATGCGAGTAATACAAAACGTTGCTTTTACTGTAGGCTAGTAAAAGTTTTACTTTTTAAAATTAAAAATTTTTTTTCCAAGGACTTACTAGGAACAACTCCTAAACTAAGCGCCAATCCAAGAGCTTCCAATATTTGTTTGTCAATCATCAAAGCCGATGCTGTGCCATACTTTTCAATACCTGCTTTTTCGATAATAGCGTAGGAACAGTAGTCAATATATTCGACTACCGCATAGTCATATTGTTCTGATCTTATTTTTTGGAATAGGCTTTCATCGTTTAGTTGTGCTAAAATTAAACTAGCCTAACTAGTCTTAGCTTTTGTTTACGTGTTAAAATTAAAAAAAATTTTTTTGATTTTTTAAAATAATTTGAAAACTTTTAATTTATAAATATTTCTGAAAAATAAAATTCAAAGCAAAATTTTAAAAATTTCTTAAAGCAATTTTTAAAAAAATTTTGAATTTTTGAAAAGTTTTAACAAGTGGACTTACATTCACATGCTTTAGATTGTAGCATACCGCAATGGGCCAGCCACTAAAAAAATTTTTAGTTAAAATAATTTTTTTAAAAACGTTTATACTCAAAAAGGCTTTCCTAGGTCTAATTCGCTCCCAGCCTAACATTGGAGCCGTATTAAGCTGGGACAAAACAAATTGAAAAAAGTTCAAGCCGGAACATTTGGGCCTGAAGACCGAAACCTAAACCGAAGTCTGGTTTTTCAATTATCCCAAAAAAATTAGGCTTGACTTGGCCTCTTTACAGATCTAGTAAGAATAACCAAATTTCTTAAAAATTTTTAAATTTTTTTTTATTTTTTGAAAAAATTTAAAAAGCACCTGCCCAGTACAGAACACTACTAAAATTAAGAGGCTACGAAGAGAAATCTTACTTGATTGTTGGCTTCAATATTTGGTGTCCAAAAGTTTAGTTGCGAAAATTCTGGAACAGTAATGTTGCCTCGAGGTCTAACATAAGCATTAGCTTTTGTTACACCAACCTTGTTTACACTGTCTATTATGGCTTGTTGGTAGAAGGTCTGAAAATAATATGATACTATAACGATCACAGTAAGATTTTTAGAACCCTACCCTACCCTACCATGCTCTACCCTACCCTACCCTACTTTAAAAACCAGTTTTATAATGAAGCCTCACCACATTATGCCCAGCCTCCGCCAGCCAGTCAGCCAGCTTGGCCATGTAGAAGATGTGCGATTGGCCAATGCGCGCCGACTTGTAAAACAATATATTGTAGGCGCGACATGGTGTGGTAAACAAAAGCAAGAACAAAAAAACGTTCATCGTCTACGGAGAATACACTGCCGTTACCAATCTTGTCGAAATTCCTTTATCGTTCTTCGAATTTTGATTTGTCAATTCTAGGAAACGTTCCTCCCCCTCCTCTTCTATGACCCGGCGATGAAAAGTTATCGAAAAGGTTTGAAAAAAGTAAGTCAGACAGTAAATAAGGAAAAAAAGTGTTATCGAGTAGACAGAAACAAAACAAGGAGTTTGTGGGTTGTGCCAAAGAGAACGTTTGTCGGGTGTTTATAGTTTTCAATTCAACGTGAATATATCATGTTATTCAAAACAAAAAAAATTGAAAAAAATCTTATTTTGTGCTAAGCCTTAGCTCTAACCTTGCCTTTGCCTTAGATCTGCCTTTGCCCTGCCTTTGTCTTGCCTTTGCCCTGCCTTTGCCCTGATTTTACCTTGTCTTTGCCTTTTCTCTGTCTTTGCCCTACCTTTGCCCTGCCTTTGCCCTGCCTTTGCCCTGCCTTTGCCCTGCCTTTGCCCTGCTTTTGCTCTGTCTTTTCTCTGTCTTTGCCCTACCTTTGCCCTGCCTTTGCCCTGCCTTTGCCCTGTCTTTGCCCTGCCTTTGCCCTGTCTTTGCCCTGCCTTTGCCCTGCCTTTGCCCTGCCTTTGCCCTGCCTTTGCCCTGCCTTTGCCCTGCCTTTGCCCTGCCTTTGCCCTGCCTTTGCCCTGCCTTTGCCCTGCCTTTGCCCTGCCTTTGCCCTGCCTTTGCCCTGCCTTTGCCCTGCCTTTGCCCTGCCTTTGCCCTGCCTTTGCCCTGCCTTTGCCCTGCCTTTGCCCTGCCTTTGCCCTGCCTTTGCCCTGCCTTTGCCCTGCCTTTGCCCTGCCTTTGCCCTGCCTTTGCCCTGCCTTTGCCCTGCCTTTTGCCCTGCCTTTTGCCCTGCCTTTTGCCCTGCCTTTGCCCTGCTCTTTGTCCTGCCTTTGCTCTGCCTTTTGCCCTGCTTTTGCCCTGCCTTTTGCCCTGCTTTTGTCCCTGCTTTTGCTCTGTCTTTGTCCCTGCCTTTTGCTCTGCTTTTGCTCTGCCTTTTGCTCTGCCTTTTGTCCCTGCCTTTTGTTCTGTCTTTGTTCTGCTCTTTTGCTCTGTCTTTGTCCCTGTCTTTGTTCTGCCTTTTGCTCTGTCTTTGTTCTGTTTTGTTCTGCTTTTGTTCTGCTTTTTGTTCTGCCTTTTGTTCTGCCTTTTGCCCTGCCTTTTGCTCTGCCTTTTGCTCTGCTTTGCCCTTTTTTGTTCTGCCTTTTGTTCTGTCTTTGCTCTGTCTTTGTCCCTGCCTTTTGCCCTGCTTTTGCTCTGCTTTTGCTCTGCCTTTTGCTCTGCCTTTTGCTCTGCTTTTGTCCCTGCCTTTTGCCCTGCTTTTGTTCTGCTTTTGTCCCTGCCTTTTGCCCTGCTTTTGTTCTGCTCTTTTGCTCTGCTTTTGTCCCTGCCTTTTGCTCTGCTCTTTGCTCTGCCTTTTGTCCCTGCCTTTTGCCCTGCCTTTTGCCCTGCCTTTGCCCTGCCTTTGCCCTGCCTTTTGCCCTGCCTTTTGCCCTGCCTTTTGCCCTGCCTTTGCCCTGCCTTTGCCCTGCCTTTGCCCTGCCTTTTGCCCTGCCTTTGCCCTGCCTTTGCCCTGCCTTTGCCCTCTGCCTTTGCCCTGCCTTTGCCCTGCCTTTGCCCTGCCTTTGCCTTGCCTTTTGCCTTTGCCTTGACTTGTCTTTGAAGCTTGATTGTTAGCTATGTTTCTAACTTGCGTTTTCTTATTACTACTGTGCTCTGATTGTGTTTTACTTTTGCTTTCCTGTTTAAAAAAATACACTGCTCTACATGTGCATTGCCTTTGCCCTACTTTTGTCCTACCTTTGTTCTGCAACTTTCCAGCTTGAGTTTTAGCATGACAACATTCCCTTGTGAGCTATTCTTTTAACTTGCGTTTTCTTTTCCTTGCCGTGTCCTGCTTCTGTATTATTTTTGCTCTACCCTTGCTTTGTTTAAAATTTTTTTGTTGTCGTTTTACGCCGCAAAGTTTAATAAACAGTTCAAAAACAACATAAATATTTATTACACACCAGCTTTAATTAATTTTCTTTTGTAAACGAACATTACTCGTACTGATATCATACAACTTATATACAATCTTCATCAACATTCGTATCGTCAACTTTGTACTATAATAAAAAACAATCAACACTGTCGCTAATACAGCTAGCTGAGCAGCGATGAAGTCAAGATTGTAACCTCTGGCAAAGCCTTGAGATCGAGCAGCCAAGTCCAAAGCTTCGTCCACGTTGAAACGAATGGCGTGCTCAACGTGCTTTACAAAACGTTCTTTGGATGGGATTGGCTTATGGTTGATTAGATCGGCCATTTGCTTCACTTTGGTGCGCATGCTAAAATTTTGAAAATAAATTAAAAAGATAAGAGAAATCGGAAAAAATTGTCCCCCTCCTCTGTCCCATCTAAAACTAATTTTTTTTAAATTTTCCAGCTGGGAGTCCTGTCAATTTCCAATAAAAATTGTTATAATGGGTTCTTGGCTTGACTTGTTCTGCTCTGCCTTGCCCAGACTTGCCCTGCCCAAACCAATTAAAATATTGTCTTACCCTTGATCATGCATAACAACATTCAACGCTTTCTTCAGTTTCTCAGCAGTTAAATCCGCTTTATCGATCATAATAGAAATTCCATGAGCTTGAGCAGCTTGACAATTAGATGGCTGATCAGCGAAGACAGGTATACAAACAGTAGGTACCCCCATCTCAGCCGTCTCACTAATACTATTCAGTCCACCGTGAGTTATGAAGGCCAGAATCTTCTTGTTTCCCAACAAATCATGTTGTGGTACCCAGGGGCGTTTGAATAAGTTTGTCACATTAGCTCCGACCGTGTCTTCTACTTCGTATTTCCAAATAAAATTGATTTTTGGGTAACTTTTGAAGGTATCGACCAAAGCATCACTCAATTGTTTTGGCATTTCTGATGATTTGCTGATAGTACCAAACGAAACTAGTACTACCCCTTCTTCAGCACTGTCTACTATCTTTTGAATGCCATGACTCAAGACTTTAATTGGCTTTTGTTTAGCATCAGTTCCTCCAACAAACAGAATTTTAGATGATATGGCTTGTTGTAGAGCGAGGTGTTCATCAACATTGACAAAGATATATGAACTTTGAGCGATTGTCATCTTGAGGTTGAAGTTAGGGTCATGAAGTCGTTTGATTGTTTGAATGGTAGGCCCAGCGATGTATTTTGCAAACATATATGAGCCAGTATAGTGGCTAATAAGAGCGTTTAAGCGTTGAGAAAAGGTTGGGAAAGGGCTAATTTCGTCATTCCAACCTGACAAGGACAAGAAATTGAGTTGATATAGGTTTTTATAAGTAACATCAACAACAGTGAAGTAAATATCATGTGAAATTTTAAAACTTCTGATAAGAACCTACCCGGAATAACTCCAATACCTAAAGGCAATCCCAATGAGTCGGTTACTAATCTGTTCAACATGAGAGCTGAAGCCGTCCCGTACTTTTTGATTCCAGCTCTTTGGATCATGGCGTAAGCACAATAGTCAAAGTATTCAACTACAGCAAAGTCATACTTTTCTGATTTTATTTGGTCTAGTAGTTGGTCATCGTTTAGTTGGGCTGTAAAAAAAGACATTGGTAAAGCAGTATTTTTTTAAAATTCTTAAAGTTTTGTAAAATACGCGCTCCGTCAGTGTTAGTAAAAAATAAAAACTTTTGTAGTTTGGACTAGATCTGTAAAGGCCCGGCCTGATTTTTTTTAGTTTGGCCCGTGCCCTTTTCAAAGTTGTTTTGACACAGCCCGGGGATAAGTCGAATTGAAGGTAAAACGGTCTTGAGCCTTCTTCTATTAGGCAAAATCAAAAATAGCAGTACACTTTTTGTTTATTTTTCAACTAAAAAAATGGCCCACTACTTTTGGTTCAACCTAATAGGTATAGGTTACAGTATTTTTTTGTCAAAGCATAATTGTTTTAATTAGTAAACTTTGAAAACGATTTTATTAGAGTCATAGTTCAAAACTACAAAAAGTATGACTTACATATACAAGCAGCGTTTTGTGAGTCTCCAAAGTGTTGAAGAAACTAAAAACAACAAAAAATTAAATTTTAATAAAACTGTTTTCACATTTTTCAAAATTTTTAAGAGACATGTGCTGGGTTCGTGACTTTGGACGGAGAAAAAGAGTAAAACCTCATTTTTTCAAACAAAAATTTTGTGAATTTTTGGTAAATATAAAGGTCCATGCTAAGCCGGGCTAGCACATGGGTAGGGGTGAGAAACGGGCCTTGAGCTAAAATTGGGCACGGGCCCGAAAAAAAATTTTTTAAATTTTTAAAAATTTTTTATTTTAATCCCCGTTGATGTTTTTTGATTTTATTAGGTAACATAATACATAAATGATCTAAAAGAACAATGCAAAGCCAAATTTTCGTTTATTTAAGTTTTAAAATTTTAAAAATTTTTTAAAATGGGCCGGGCCGGCCTGAGAGAAAATTCAAAACTGGCCGGGCCTAAACGTTGGGCCCCGGGCCTGGGCCGGGCCCGGCCCTTTTCTCACTCCTACACATGGGTCCGATAGCCTTGGCCCAAACTAAAGTTCCTGGCAAAAAAAATTAAGTTTGCCCGACCCCTTTCTATGACTTGGTAGTCAAAGTAGCTTGATTTACTCAACTTCGTAAGTTAAAAAAAGTAGTTTTGTAAAAATAAGTTTGAGTTTTATTTACCTTCATGTTGGCATCATAAGTATTCTCCCAAAAGTTGTCTTGATCAAAGTCTTCAATTGTGAAGTTGATTTTAGGTCGAACATAAACTTTGGCCAACTTTGCTCCAACTTTGTTCGCATTTTTTGCTACATCCTGCTGGTAAAAGGTCTGAAAATGATTATTTTTAATTTTCGAAAAATGTTCAAAAATAATTTTTTAATTTAAAAAATTTTTGGGTTTATTCTTACGACGATGATACACACTTTTATATAGTGCGACTACTTTTACAATCAATAAAAAAATTTTAGGTAACATAATTTAAAAACCACCCAAAAACCCCCTCCTTACCACATTATGTCCAGCCTCACTGAGCCAATCCGCTAGTCTTCCCATGTAAAAGATATGCGACTGTCCGATCCTGGCAGCATTATAAAACAAGATATTGTAGGCATAGGTCGTCGTGACAAAAGAAAATAGAATTAAAGCTGAGCGGAACTGCATTTTCCGCGAAAATTATCAATAAATGCCAAGAAAAGCGGTTTTATAGAGAGTTCGAAGTTATCAATTGTTTCAGATAAGGTGTCTAGTTTTGGTTTCTTGACTCATTGGTCTTGATATATCATGATACCTTATTATAATACTTTTTGAAAACACAAAACATAAAGTTTATTTTTAATTTTATTTAAATTTTTTCAAAGACTTCTGTATTTCTTGATCTTAATAATTCGCTATAAAAGATGGTGCAAATTTACTTCAACATTCCAATACAGTACTCTCTCTATATAAGCAACCCGAAGGGACCGACATTTTGTGTACACTATAAGGGGTGTTGTCTTTAAAGAGGGGCTTTTTAGTGCAAAGGACCAAGAAATGCCCTTGAATATGTAGAGAACGTTTTGTGGTTCTATAGATGTTCTGATTGTTAATTTTGACTTTTGGAAAACGTATATTACCGTTCTAACAATAAGTCCTTGCATTAAACCTGTAATTTATGGTTTTTCTAAATTATTCTTCTCTTATACGTTTTGTAAAACTATTAAAATTATCTGTAAAGAGGCTATACCAGGCTTTATTTTTATGCTCGGCTCACGGGCTTACATGTGCTGGTGCAGTTTTGAAAAAAAATTTTAAAAATCGCAAGTCTATGATTGCTGGTCCTAACCTGGGTCTTTGGAGCTCTCATTTAGGCCCGGCCCTCGGCATTGAACGAATCGGGTCAGCCCGGCCTATTTAAATGTTTTGTACCTTGAGCTGGTCTAGTATATCTTAGTTTCTTTAGGCCTAGATTTGTTTTTTCTGAGCAACATGAAAAAACAAATCTTTACCTTTTACCACAGGGAATTCACGTGAAAAGCAGTTTTTAGAAAAATTAATTTTTTATCATTTTTCAACGTTGTAGCCTTTAAACTTGCTCAAGTGTGAGCTAATATTAGAGATACAAAGAATAGGAATGATAGGAACTTCATTTTTCACTAAAAACTTACCCTGGCCATAATGTCATGTTCTAGTTTTACTATGACTTAAGTCTTATTTTAGTTTTATCCTAGTCTTATCGGATTTTATCTCTACAATTTTACTAATTTTCTTTTTTCTGTTTATTTCAAAGCAAAGTCATTTGTCATATTGTCTTTTGTAATCAACTACTAAAAAGTAAAACTCTCCAAATCAAATATAAATAAATATTCATTACAATATATTATAATAAAACCAAGCTTTAATCAATTTTCTTTTGCAATCCAACTCTACTCGTACTCATATCATACAACTTATATACAATCTTCATCAACATTCGTATCGTCAACTTTGTACTATAATAAAAAACAATCAACACTGTCGCTAATACAGCTAGCTGAGCAGCGATAAAGTCAAGATTGTAGCCTCTGACAAAGCCTTGAGATCGAGCAGCCATATCTAGAGCTTCATTCACATTGAAACGGATGGCGTGCTCAACGTGCTTTACAAAACGTTCTTTAGACGGGATTGGCTTGTGGTTGATAAGATCGGCCATTTGTTTGACTTTTTTGCGCATACTGAAATTTTAAAATTTTAATTGAAATTTTAATATTATATAATAAGTAGCGAAGCATATGGAGCAGAGCACGGCAAGAGTAGGGCACAGCAATGCAGAGCACAGGGCAAGACAAGTAAGAGCAGTTAATTATGCAACCTTACCTTTGATCATGCATAACCGTATCCAAAGTCTTCTTCAATGTCTCAGCAGTTAACGTAGCCTTGTCCATCATAATAGAAATGCCATGAGCTTGAGCAGCTTGGCAATTCAAAGGTTGATCTCCAAACACAGGTATACAAACAGTAGGTACCCCCATCTCAGCCGTCTCACTAATACTATTCAGTCCACCGTGAGTTATGAAGGCCAGAATCTTCTTGTTTCCCAACAAATCATGTTGTGGTACCCATGGGCGTTTGAATAAGTTTGTCACATTGGCTCCGACCGTGTCTTCAACTTCGTATTTCCATATAAAATTGATTTTTGGGTAAGTTTTGAAGGTATCGACCAACGCATCACTCAATTGTTTTGGCATTTCCGAAGCCTTGGCTACAGTACCAAACGAAACCAGTACTACACCTTCTTCAGCACTATCCACAATCTTTTGAATGTCATGGTTTAACGCTTTAATCGGCTTTTGTTTGGCATCAGTGCCTCCAACATAGAGTATTTTCGAAGTTATAGGTTGTTGAAGAGCCAGATGTTCATCACTGTTAACGAAGATGTAAGAGCTTTGGGAGATGTGATGCTTAATATCAAAGTTTGGGTTGTGAAGTTGTTTGATGGTTTTTATTAGTGGGCCAAAAATGTACTTGCTGTAGATGAAAGTTCCAGTATAATGACCAATTAGAGCGTGAAGGCGTTGACTAAAGGTTGGTTGAGGGCTTAGATCATCGTTCCAGTCTTAAAAGAAATTTTCTGGTTAGAAAATATTGTGTTTTGTAAAGAAAGTTTATGCCATTTGTTGTTTTGTAAAGAAAGTTCTTGTTATTTTTTGCTTTGTAAAGAAAGTTCTTGCCATTTTTTGTTTTGTAAAGAAAGTTTTTGCTAATTTTTGATCTGTAAAGAAAGTTCTTGCTATTTCTGTTCTCAAGCAAGAGATCTTTAAACAATTAGCTTTAACTTACTAGGAATAACGCCCAAACCTAAAGGCAAGCCCAAGGAGTCGGATATCAGCTTGTTCAACATGAGCGCTGAAGCTGTGCCATACTTTTTGATTCCGGCTTTTTCAATGATGGCATAGGCACAACAATCAAAGTATTCAACCACTGCAAAATCATACTTTTCTGATTTTATCTGGGCTATCAGTTGATCATCGTTCAGTTGGGCTGAAAATAATGTATTGATAAATCTTTTATAAAATTCTTAGTTTTGTAAAATACGGGTCGGAAATCTGACTAAAAAAAGATAAATTAAGAACCTTTTAAGCTTAAAGTTTCGCTTAAAAGCGGCTTACAGCAAATATTGTAGAACGCTTGTATAACAGACTCCTCTATAACAAAATTTTTGTATAACGAGCAATTGAAACTCCGGGCGATTTTGCATTCAAGTTCTACAGTATAGATATACAAATGTTCTACGCAAAATTAATTTTTTTTAATTTTAAAAAATAAAGGTTGGTCTAGTGATTAACCGATTCGTTATACAGGAGTTCAACTGTAATCTACAAACTAGTTTTGTGTCATCATAATTATAAAAAATATGATTTTAGTAATGCTATTATGGGAATTGTAAAACTTACAAACACAAGCCTTGTTTTGAGAGTTGCCGAAGAATTGCAAAAACTAAAAATATTCATTGTAATTTGAAAAACCATTTATGTTGTTCTCACCTTCAGATTAGCATCACGGTTAGCCGTCCAAAACTCGTCTTGATCAAAATCTTCAATTGTAAAATTAATTTGAGGTCGTACATAGGCTCTAGCCAATTTTACTCCAACTTTGTTGGACGATTTGGCTACGTCTTGTTGGTAGAAAGTCTGAAAATAAGGTGGTTTTAACAAAATACCCATTATAACAAATACTTTTTTTTTACTATTTCTGAAAGTTAAAATTTTTTACTTTCGATCGTTTTTAGGCTTAAAAAGGGATTCACTAAGTCAAGCTCAGTCCGAGACTACAAATTTCAAAGAGACCCATCTGTACCGTTCCAAAGACCAAAACGCGGCCCTACTTTTGTAACAGTAGAGGAGTACTAATTCATAAAGACAAGAGTAGTACTAAAATGAGGGCGGCTCCTGTTTTTAAAAGCAAATCTGATACTGCTATTTAAAATTAAGAAAAAATTGAAAAAAATATTTAGGTAACGTAATTTAAAAACCACCCAACAAACCCCTTCTTACCACATTATGTCCAGCCTCACTGAGCCAATCCGCTAGTCTTCCCACGTAAAAGACATGCGACTGTCCGATCCTGGCAGCATTATAAAACAAGATATTGTAGGCATAGGTCGACGTGACAAAAGAAAATAGAATTAAAGCTGAGCGGAACTGCATTTTCCGCAAAATTATCAGTAAAATACAAACAAAAGGGCTTTTATAGACAATTGTAAGTTATCAATTGTTTCAGATTAGATGTCTGATTTTTGTTTCTTGACTCATGCTTTATACCGCCTTTTAAAGAGGTAATATGTCTGTGATTTTAAGGTATAAAACACAAACTTTTGAGTAAATAAACACATGTTTATGTGACAAACTTAACGTATCAATTGAGTGACATAAAAGTACGGAAATTTTGTGTTTTGTGATCTTGAGATGGCTTTTCGTTTAAACATATTTGTTTTTAAGCCTTTTTAGGCTAGGATACTAAAATGCTGAATTATAAAGTAGAAAAGGCTAACGTATGATAAAAGAAAGACATGGTAAAGAAAAATATGTTATGTTTGACGTACGGTAGTTAAAATAGTACGTTACGGTAAGGATTATATAGTAGGTAGACTGGAAGTTGAGAAAACCATAGTAAAAATGTCACTGCTAAGACTCTGGGCTAAGGATCTGGGCTAGGGCTCTGGGTTAAAGATCTGGACTAGGGCTCTGGGCTAGGGCTCTGATCTAAAACTTTGGAAAAAGGCTAGCTTTTAATCAAAAGTGACCGTTAGTCTTAACTTTGCTTGTACAGACATCACCTTACATCATTTCTAGTCTTTCCTATGTGTCGTTGACTAAACTACAAAATATGCCCGCTTATCTTGTCAAAATTAAAAGATTATTGCAAAATTTACAGATTACAGAACCTATTGTTAGATGAAATTTTTATTTGAACATTTGCTGTTATAAATACTTTATTTTGAAAACTTTTCCCTAAAATTAAGTACTTTTGATAAGCGTGTCAAAAGCAGGCATTAGAAGATTACCTTGACTTCCCTATCTTTACAAAAAAAATTTTGCAAAAAGTTAAAAATGTTGCAAACTCAAAATTCAATAAACTTAAAATTTCAAAAAAAATCAAAATTGGAAAAAATAATCATTTGAAATTAAACTCGGTCGCACATAAGGTTGTCATCAGAAGGGTGTAAGCGGATGCAACCGCTTTGTTCCTTTTTAGACTTATATAAATTTGAATAATTGGTTTCGAACGAGTTTTGGTCGTTTTATCTTCAGTTTGGTGCCATCGAAACCGCCGTGCGGTAGGTCGCGTATTTGGTTAGCTTCGCCAGTGGATTCCTCACTTAACAACCAACTACAGATGGATTCAGAAGACGACTGTTACGAGTGTTCAAACTGTTGCACAGAGAAAAGAAAGCAACACAAGTGCTGCCTTGTAAGTTTTAAACAATTTTTTTAATTTTGAACTTTTTAACGAATTCTTGCCATTTTTTGTTTTGTAAACAAAGTTCTTGCTATTTTTTGATTTGTAAGGAAAGTTCTTGCCATTTTTTGCTTTTTAAACAACGTTCTTGTCATTTTTTGTTCTGTAAAGAAAGTTTTTGTTATTTTTTGTTCTGTAAAGAAAGTTCTTGCCATTTTTTGTTCTGTGAAGAAAGTTTTTGCCATTTTTGTTCTGTAAAGAAAGTTTTTGCCATTTTTTGTTTTGTAAAAAAGTTTTTGCCATTTTTTGATTTGTAAAGAAAGTTATTGCCATTTTTTGCTTTGTAAACAAAGTTCTTACTTTTTACCATCTTGTATTTTGTAGAAATAATCCTTTTAGCATCAACTGAAAAAAGTCGTCGAAGCACGCGTGGCCAAGATTGCAGAGAAAAAGCGGACGAGGTAATAATTTTTTACTCTTTTTTTTAAATTAAAATACAATAACTTTTAGAACTTGACATTTTAAAGTAAATTTCTTACAGAGACCTAATGATAATGTTAAAAATTATATTTTTAGAATGTTATCAATGAAAGAGAAACAGAAGATAGAAAAAGAGGAACAGCAGAAAAAAGAGTCTCAGAAATAGAAGAAGAAGGTCAGCGAGAAGAAGGAGGATCATCAGATTGTTCCGCTGGTCGGAAACACAACGGTAAAAGGGGAAAATGCGGCTTCTGGTGCCCACATACGTAAGTTACATATTTAATTTTTTTAAATTGTAAGCATATTATTAATTTTGGGGCTAATGAAGAATCGTTACCCAGTGCATTATTGTTCCCAACGGTGCATAATCGTTCCCCCAATTTTTATTCATTTTTACATTTCAACACCGAAAAAAATAATAAAAAGCCATCATGAATTTTTTTTCACTTTTTAATTTTTTTAATTTTTCAGGTCAATTCAGCGACAACCACTATCAGAAAATCGTAAGTTTATCTCCTTCTTGTTTAACCCCTACCCTACCCTACTCTACCTTACCCTACCCTACCCTGCTTAACAATACTTTAAAATTAATTTTAAGGCTTCTGTAAAAATTATTTTGTAGTCAAGTGTTTCCCTGTTATATATTATTCCAAATGTTTATAAAATTTTGATGTTTTTTAGGCAATTTTAAAAAGTTTTATTTTTAGTTGTTGACAACGCAACCTTTGAATATAATAATAACTTTTAAATCAGGTCGAAGCTACAAAAAGTAAAGCAACATGGCCAAGCATAGAAGGACCGAGCGGTGTAAATTTGATAGTTTTTTTGGAATATTTGGAAAAAAAGTGCAAGATATATTAGGTGCCGACATAAAGAACCCGCCATACTTTGCCTGAAATTCTTTGTAAAAAACGGCGGGTTCTTTATGTCGGCACCTAATAAATACGACTTTTTTTCGGTAAGATTAGAATTAAGATAATTATAGACGACGCGAAGAGAAGTAATTTTGGAACACAGATGAACTTTTAATAAAAAATTCTTTATAGTTATAAAATGTTACTCTTTTTTCAACTTTAAACTGTTCTCAAAGTAACTAATAACACTATAACAAACTTTGCTTACAAATCGATATAGATATAGTACAAGCCAGCCTAAAGTTAATAAAACAAATGAATGAATCAAAATAAAATCAATATTGTATCCCCGAATGAAGCTGTGTGTTCTTACTGGTACATCTAAAGCTTCATGAACATTGTATGTTACGGCGTGCCCTATCGTTCTTACAAATTGTTCTTTTGGAGTGAATGGCTTGTTATGCGGGTACGGGGGTATACGGGGGGAGGTATACCCCCCGTGGCTAAAAGAACGTACCCGTGGAAAAAGCACACCGAGTACCGTAATCCCTTGCTCAATCAGGGTTTTCGAGGCGGGACCATCGATAAACAAATAAATATTTTCAAAGTTTACCAACATTTTTCAAAAAACTTTGGAAAAAGGCAAGCTTTTAATCAAAATTGACCGTTAGTCTTAACTTTTCTTGTACAGACATCACCTTACATCATTTCTATTTTCTCCTATGTGTTGTTGACTAAACTACAAAATATGCCCGCTTATTTTGTCAAAATTGGAAGATTATTGCAAAATTTACAGATTACAGAACCCATTGTTAAAGGAAATTTTTATTTGAACATTTGCTGTTATAAACACTTCATTTTTTAAAAAACTTTTCCTTACAATTAAGTATTTCAAGAACGGGTAAGATATTAAACTGTACATTTTTTATTTTTCTGTCAGGCAAGAACTGAAAAAGTTGTTAAAAGATCACTAAATTTTGAGTTAATCAGGTCATGGATAATATCGAGAAAATTGACAAAGAATTCGCCATTTCCTATTGATCCATAATAATCAACACCTTTTTAAACTAACAATAGTAAATATTATCCATGACAGAATATAAAAAAAATCTGAATTTCCAATAATAAATCTAGATTTTGATGTTATTACCTAAAATTCCCATAATCAACAAAAACTAAAATAACTCACATTTCAGGTAGGACTAGATGCATCTGATGCTGAAAAGGTCGTTCTTGATCTGATTGATCGTCAGAAGCAGTTCTCAGCTTCGGCTCACGGTAACAACGCCGCAGCTCAACTTGAAGGTGGAGAACGTGCGCAATTCCAGCGATTTGGCGACAACGGTGGTCTTGCTCAGGCTGGGGGGCACAAGTAAGTTGTTATACGTCTATTCTTGGTCGTTTGGACAATAATTTACCTAAAATTATGTGTTTTTCCTTATTTTTCCTTTGAAAATCAAGAATGAACTCAAAAATCAATGGTGACGTTCTGTTACACAAATTATTGATTTTTTGGAACTGCGTCTTTATCGATAAATCTTGACTTAGAGAGCTCAATTTCGACTTCAAAATGAAACAGACACGGAAAGACATGCTTTGTTAAAAGCTGATGGGAAATACGAGTTAGATAGTATAGCTGAAGGAGATCTAAAGGATCCAAAGAACACTAGATTTAAAGCCACAAACGATCGCTTTGATTTCAAGTTGAACCCGGATTCTCAAACCAAAAATGAAGGAGAAGGTACACTTAGCTTCAAGGTATAGTTTTCTATCTTTGGGAGTTTATTTGGAGCTTATTTTAAATGATCTGATTGATATTTGGCATGGTTAATATAATTTTTTGAAGAATTTTGAAAATTGAAGATTTTGGCTGTTTGATCAATGAAAATTGAAGTGATTGGTATCTTTAGAGCCAGAAAAACGTTTTGTAAATACTTTTCCAACCTTTACAGGACCGTCAAAACAATACCCAAGGAACATACACCTATACCATCTTTCAAAATGGCAAGAAAACCGACGCCCAACTCAGTGCTCACGATATCGGTGGATCAGAACTAGAACAGTCATTGTTTGGCCGACGTAGTGATCGCTATAGATGTTCGGCCGAAATGCCGGGCGTCTCACAATGTTATGATGCGTTGCAAAGAGCTGAGCGGCCGAGAGTGTATTTCACAGATCAAACTGGCTAATCCCGAGTTCTCAAGTCCATATAATCTAGATGACGATGGTAATGTGCAGATTACTTGGCCAGATTGCTTTGACATGCCATTTGATGTTACGCTGCCACCTGGAGTTCATATTAATAAGTTGGCTATGAAGTTGGATGTTAGCATTCAACCTATTGGTAAATTGAGGTGCATGGATGCGGCTACCTGTGGCAGAGAGTGCTATTATTGTGATTGGTGCAAGGGGTCTAGGTAGGTTAATATTTTTAGAAAACTTTGAAAAATTTTTAAATTTTAAAAACTAAAAATTTTACCTTCAACTTCTGAAAACACTGATGGAAATCTGTGCCGTGCTACTGAAGATCGTACTTATCGCTTGACAGTCAAGCTTTGTCCTCCACCAGAAAACCCTGAATTCACAATGTGCTCAGCATTCTCAAAAAGCATCTGGCAAAAGTTACTGGCAAACACAAGGTGACGTTGACGTTTAGATGAATTTCTACGAACGTCAGCGACGCGAGGAGGTATTATCTTTTAAAAGTCATTAAAATTAATTTTATCGAAAGAGGCTTGCACCTACTATAATATTAGTAATTTTAGCCTTTTTTAATTATTTTTGAAGCTTTATCACAATATTATATTGTCATAAAGATAATACGTGTATTTTTACAGTTAGAAGATGCCTTTTTCTCGGAGTTGGACAACCCGCTTTTGGGAAAAGCCTTCAAATTGGCCATGGTTGGAGAATGGCTAGCAGCTAATGGTTAGGGGTAAGAAAAGGGTCGGGCCCACTTTTTATGGATGAAAAATAAAAAAAATTTTTGAAAAAAAATTTTACTTGGAAATTAGTTTGAATTTCAAAAATTACCAAAAAATTATAATCATTTTGGTAACAATTAAGCGACCGGTCGATGATGCGTGTTTCCAATTCCACGCGGCAGAACTCAAGGGAAGCGTCCGTGGATTCGACCGAACGAAGTCCTATGGCACCAGTTCAACCGCCTCGGAAGTGTGAGTTTGACATTTCGTTACATTATTGATGTTTTTGAAATTTTTTAAAAACAAGGTAGTCGATTTTTAAAAACAAGGTAGTAATTCGGTGTCGTCATTCGCCCCAAATTTTTTAGTTTTTAAGTATTCGAATAGCTTTTTTTTTGATTTAAAAAAAAAGTTTTAAAACGATATAAATTTTGAAATTTTGTTACATTATTGATTTTTTAAAATTTTGAATTTTGACATTTCGTTACATTATTGATTTTTGAATCTTTTGAAATTTTTTAGTTTTTTAAGTATTCTAATACTTTGTTTTAAACCTCGAAAAGTTAAAACGATATAAAATTTTGACATTTCGTTACATTATTGAATTCCCAGCTTTTTCAGCCAAGGCAAAAGGAAGGTCGAACAAGCGCTCCTCAAGCTCGAGAAAAACGAAAAAAGCGTCAAAAATGCTGAAAAGTAAGCCGGCCGGATCCAAGCCTCGAAGCAGTTCAGACCAGAATCGAAGTTCAGAGAACAAGTCGCCAGATCGTCGAAGCCCGTATCATAGTCCGGACCCGAAGAAAGGCGAGCGGCGACAACAAGTCACCCGAACACCCAGATCTATGGAGAGGCATAAGGCAAAGTCTGAAAGTGGCAATGTAATTTTTTTAAACTTACTTTTTTTACTCTATCTCTACCTTTGCCTCTACCCCTAACTACCGCTACTCCTGCCTCTACCGCTACTCCTACCCCTACCCTTACCCCTATCTCTACCCTACCTATACTTCTACCCCTACTCCTACCCTTACCCCTACGCTTACCTTTACTTTTACCCCTTCTTTTACTCATTACCCCTACTATTATCTTAACCCTACCTCTGTTTCTATCCCTACTTCTATTTCTACCCCTAGCCCTTTTGTTAACCCTTTTGCTCTACAATTACCCCTATTTTGAAGTATCTTACTTTACATAACTTTTTCTTACCATAGATTACTACCTTATCTCATGCTTCTTTGTCTTGACCAAGACTTCAAATTTATAGTTATAATACTTGTTTTAGGGACGACAAGGTGACGTTGAATTTCCAAGACATAACAAAAGAGAATCGACTGTCATGAAGGATCATGGCGCACGACATTGTAAGGTTACTAGGGTAAGGTTTTTTTGAAAATATTATTTTTAGGTAACATTTTAAACTTTTTTGAAATTTTTTAATTTTTTATGAAATTTAAAATTTTTTTTGAAATTTTAGATTTTTTGAATTCAAAAAATTTTTTTTTTAATTTTAAAATGAAAAAAAAAAATTTTTGAAGTTTTTTATTAAATTTAAAAGTTTTTGAAATCAGATTTTTTTGAAATTTTGATTTTTTTTGAAATTTTAAAATTTAAAAAGTTTTAATTTTGCAGATCATGATAAAAAATAAAAAAAATTTCTAGGAAAAGCAACGCCCCCAAAAAAGCGATGACAAGAATCAGGACAGTGCGAGTAACGAAGAGACATCCACCGAATCCGAGACTACCAGAGCCACCCGGTCCAGTCGAAAATTCAGAAAAGCCGGTTTATTGTCGATGGAGAACGAGGAGGTTGGGATTCGACGGAAGAGATCGAAGAGGAAGCGAAAGGACAAAAAGGCAATCGACGAGAAAACAGAGAATTCACAGGCCGAGGAGAAGACGGAGAAGGATGCCGGGGAGGTAAGATGGTTTACTTTACGATAGCGGGCTTATTTTGCTACAATAAGCATACCTTAATCTGCTGTGAACTATCATCGCTTAAGTTGGCTTACCTTACCTTACTGTACTCTACCCCACCTTTCCTTTACTTACCCTCCCCTGCCTTATCCAACCCTATCTTGCCCTACCCTATACTACCCTAGTCTATCCTACTCTACCCTAAAATTTTACTTTAACTAAATATAATCAGTAATAGTGTTACGTATTTTAAGATGCCGGAAAAGGAAAAGACAAAAGCGACGTGTGCTCGCAATCTTATTACTGTAATGCCTATAACAAAGAGGATAACTACGAGGAACGGAAACGTGGCTTTTGGCGGCGAAATAGGCAAGTAATTTTAAATATTAACAGTGGACCGGGGTTGATAAACTAGCGGGCCGGTCATCCGCAGGCCAGGGTAGGGTTAAGGTGCGGCTTGGCGTAGCAATTCGGTGAAGGCGAGAGTTTTTTTGTAAGATAGTTATCGACCGGTCGATTTTCGTTCTTGATGAATTTTTTATTTTATGTGTTAATTTATTGTTTTGGGCGTAATAAGCATGTTTTGCAGCTTTGGATGATTCGTTGAATGTAAATTTTAAAGTTTTAAATTATCGACCGGTCTATTACACAACGTTGCCTTAAAAATTGTCAAAAAAACTATATAGCTTTGTAGTCCGATATAAATTATATAGAATTTAACTAGTAGTTTCTAACTGCTAAACTAACCGAGTTTTACAGCCTTTGCCGAATTGCTTCGCCAATCGAATGCCGAAATCAAACTCTTTTTTTTTATTATTTTTTAGTAGCCCGGGCCAAGCTAAGAAAAAAAGTTGAACCGGCAAATATTTCAAGGAATTTGGAGGTGCCGGCCGTAATTTGATTTTGAAAATGAAGCTCTTTTTTAGTTTTTACAGCAGCTCTTATTCGAGCTTTAATATGTCTTTATTCTTACTTTTAACGGTATTCAAAATCTTTATATAATTTTATTAATTTCTTTGATTTCAGCGCAGAAGTCCGTGACCAACAACTACGTAAGTTATTTTTAGATTTATTAGTTTTAAAAATTTTAATTTTTTTGCGTATTTTAGAATGTTTTTGAAGGTTAATATAATATAAAATGTAATTTTATAAGTTATTTATGACATGCGAATTTACTTTTTTGTTTATAAAAAATAACTGAGTTTGAGCTGTCATATTATCTTAAACTTAAAAAAGAACTATGTTTTATATTCGATTCAAAAAATTGATTTTTATTTAGTATAACATTTAAATTATTAAATTACAAAAACGTTCTTATGATTTTAAACTAATTAAGACTAAAACGATTTTAGAATTTTAACTTCACTATAAACGTTGACCGAGTTGAAAGTGACTTTACCAACTTCCTCATGCAGCACGGCATAGTTCCACGAAAGGAGAAGGTATGTATGATATATACATTGTATTAAATCTCAGGGTAGGGTAGGGTAGTTGTTTTTGCAAAGTTGCTTTTGACATTATTCCCGCCATGCCCTTGTTTATTGTTAAACTGTAAATTTACCTTAAACTTTACAGATTCCCGAACGGAACTTCATCCAGAAGCACACTCAGTGGTATTGGGTCGACTACAAAGCGGCCTGTCGAATGGTACATTCACAACTTCCGCCACGAAAGAATGAAACCAATGCTCAGAAGAGAACACGTACGCTGTTGAACAACCTATTGAATCGGCCTGATGACGAGTACCTGTCTGCGTTCTACTTATACGCGGCTATTGGCTTTATGTACCAAAAGGACAAGTTTCAGCCAATGACAGCCAAGCAATTTTATAGCACTTACTACATTGTTGGCGAGTCGGATCCAGAAGGCGAACAGTAATGCGGTCGACTTTGAATATTGTGAATAAATTTTTTGAGTCAAGTGTTTCCCTGTTATATATTATTCCAAATGTTTATAAAATTTTGATGTTTTTTAGGCAATTTTAAAAAGTTTTATTTTTAGTTGTTGACAACGCAACCTTTGAATATAATAATAACTTTTAAATCAGGTCGAAGCTACAAAAAAGTAAAGCAACATGGCCAAGCATAGAAGGACCGAGCGGTGTAAATTTGATAGTTTTTGGAATATTTGGAAAAAAAGTGCAAGATATATTAGGTGCCGACATAAAGAACCCGCCATACTTTGCCTGAAATTCTTTGTAAAAAACGGCGGGTTCTTTATGTCGGCACCTAATAAATACGACTTTTTTTCGGTAAGATTAGAATTAAGATAATTATAGACGACGCGAAGAGAAGTAATTTTGGAACACAGATGAACTTTTAATAAAAAATTCTTTATAGTTATAAAATGTTACTCTTTTTTCAACTTTAAACTGTTCTCAAAGTAACTAATAACACTATAACAAACTTTGCTTACAAATCGATATAGATATAGTACAAGCCAGCCTAAAGTTAATAAAACAAATGAATGAATCAAAATAAAATCAATATTGTATCCTCGAATAAAGCCGTGTGTTTTTACTGGTAGATCTAAAGCTTCATGAACATTGTATCTTACGGCGTGCTCTATCGTTCTTACAAATTGTTCTTTTGGAGTGAATGGCTTGTTATTAATAAGATCCGCCATTCGCCTTACTTTTTTGTGTATTCTGAAAAGATTTTTTTAAATTGGGTTTACTGTAGTAAAAGCGTCTTTCGCAAGCCGTTTTACTAACATGTATTGTTAAGTTAAGTTTAAACTTGACTATGAAAGCTTGCTTACAATAATATGTTTTCGCTATACCTTTTCACTTACTTTTGGTCTTTTAAGACCCTATTTAATGCCATTTTTAAATTAGAGGTAGTGACAAAAGTCTTCTCTATAGTAATAGAAAGTCCATGTGATTGAACAGCTTGACAATTCATATGTTGGTCTCCAAAGATAGGCATACAAACAGTTGGAACACCAAGTTCTGTAGCTTCTACTATACTATTTAGGCCTCCATGGGTGATAAAGGCTAGTAGTTTTGGGTTGGCTGAAAATAGAGAGTACGGTACAGTCTAGATTACAGTTAAGCTTTGAATACGTTAGGTCTTAAAATAAAAAATATTGGGGTCTATGGTAAGCCGGGCAGTATAGTTCAGAAGAAAGTAGGCTTTAGGGTACAATAGGGATATAGGTAAATTAAGTGCTGGGAGGCACAGTTAGTTTTGAGTACAGTAATGAAAGCAGGATTGGATAGAACAGAATAGACTTAAGTAGAGCAGGGTAGGGTAGGAGAGTCCTCCCGGTACGCAAGGCTTTTGGGTAGAGAAGCCTTTAGGATACAGTAAGCCTCAGGGTACGGCAGGCCGTAGGGTACGGTAGGCTTCAGAATACGGTAGGCTTTAGGGCACAGTAGGATTCAGGTTACGTTAGACGTTTAGGAACATAAGGTCTCAAGGTACGATAGGCCTCAGGATACGGTAAGCCTCAAGGTAGGGTAGGGCAGGGTAGGGTAGGGTAGATAAGGTAGGATAGATAAGGCAGGGTAGAATTTATGTCTACCTAATACATCATGTTGAGGTATCCATTTTCTTTTGTACAAATTAGTAACATTAGCCCCAATATTGTCATTGTCATCGTATTTCCAAATAAAATTGATATCCGGATTTCTCTTGGCCATACTCACAATAGCCTGTATGAATTTTTCTGGCATAATGTTAGTTTTCAAAGCCGTACCAAAAGAAATAAGTACAACCCCTCTTTTTGCACTATTAAAGATATTTTTATAATCAGGGCTCAATTTTGCGACCGGTCGATTTTGAGCTCCAATGCCGCCAACGAAAATCATTTTTGATGTAATTGGTGTTTGAAATGTTAGATGTTCATCAATGTTCATGTAGATATAAGAACTCTTGCCAATCTTTTCATTTGGGTTGAAGGTTGAGTCGTGTAAGTTTTGAATGGCACTGATTACCGGAGTTGATATTGAGGTCATGTAAATGGCAGACTTGTAAAATTCAAATAGAGCTTTGGCACGTTCATAATATGTTGGGACTTTGCTGAACGATTCGTACCAACCTGAAAAAAACAAAATACGATTAAAATTAAGCTTACCTTACCCTACCCTATCTTACCCTACCCTAGCCTACCCTACCCTACCCCACTCTACTTCACCCTACCCTTCCCTACCCCACTCTACTTCACCCTACCCACCCTACCCCACTCTACTTCACCCTATCCCACCTTACCCCACCCTGAATCTTTAAAATAGCTTTATCTGAACTAAAACGATCTTTCTGCTTTCCTTCATGAACTTCTTATCATTATAACTTACCAGGAACAACACCAATGCCCAAAGGTAATCCAAGAGCATCAAAAATGCCTTTTATTGGAATGATAGGAGATGTTGTAGCATAATTTTTAATCCCAGCTTTTTCGATAATAGCATATGCACAAAAATCAATAAATTCAACTACAGCAAAGTCATAATTTTCTGATTTTATTTGTTCTATCAATTGATTGTCGCGGAGTTGGGCTAAAATAAGATTAAATTTCAAAATAACGAAAAGCAAAACACAGTATAATCAAAAAAAATTAGAGCTTATTCCAATTTGAATGTTATAAAAAATCAAAATTGTGCAGGCCGAAACATACGAAAAGTAAGACTATTATAAGTCTTATATATGTTAGATTAAGAAGGTTTTTGTTTTTTGTGATATTCAACTAGAACAGCAAAACATAATGGTTTTTATTTTGATACAATTATAACATTTTAATTAATATTATTGAATAACAAACGTGACCCTAGCGTATTTTACAAAAACTTACATTTACAAGCCTGAGCCTGAGCGATACCAAAGTGTTCTAGAAACTAAAAAAATATTACTTAGTTTAACATAATATGCTTTTATTACATAACAAATAAAAAAAAACTAAAATTAAAAATTTTAGCCAGACTTGTAATAAAAATGCCAATTCTAAACTTTTGGAACCTTCATTTATGCTCAGATTTCCGACTCGATCCGTACCTTGTTAAACTTTTTTAGGCTTGGACTGGGCTTAGTAGGTTACCTAGCAGATCTACTAATTTGGATAAAGCTAAAAAAACTTACATATTCATTTTCAGAGTACCAAAAGTTGGTACTATCAAAATCGTCAACAGTAATATTATGAGGTGGACGCACATACGTTTTAGCCAATTTTACTCCTGTTTTGCTTACTGAGTCAAACATGTGTTGTTGGTAGAATGTCTGAAATCATTGAATTTAAAACTTTAATGTAACATTTTAGTTTTTTTCCAAAAATTTAAATTTGAACCCGCTTTTTTAGTTTTTCGCAAATAAATGTGTTTTTTTTCAGTATAAGCTAGCTAAGGTGAAGCTAGAGCAGGGCTAGTGCAGAGGCGAGATTACTAAAAATTCGTTTGTTATACAGGAGTTCATACCTATTCATATTTTAATTTTTTCCAATTTAATCAAGAATAAACACTTACCACATTATGACCAGCCTCAACCAACCAATCAGCCAGTTTTCCACTAAAAAAAACGTGGGATTGGCCTAATCTGGCAGCATTGTAGAATAATATATTATAACCGTAGCACGCCTGAGCGAATATAAATAAAGTTAAAATAACATTATAGGCTTTCTTCATGGTATATTACAAATGGCAAAGATCAGAGTATAAAATGAAAAAATAATATCTAGACTATATGATTAGGTATTAGTTGATAACAAATCTCTAATTGTTATATAGGGTGATAACAATTCACAATACGATCTTAAGAAGCTTTCTTCTCTTTGTTATCTTTTAATAAATGGCAACTTAAAAATAAATTATTTTCAGCAGATCACCAAAGCAAATCTTACTGTAACTTAGTCAAAAAGTACAATAGTACTCTTTTATAGTCTAGTCTAAGACTAAGGCTAGTAAGATAAAATACTCTGTTCGATGCTCAGTTTTATACCACCATGAAGCTCATTTCAACAATAAAATTCGTAGTAAAACTCTTTTTTCAATCAAAACTACAGTATTTTGCGTTTGATAGAAGGAAAAGCAATAAAAACTTAAAAGATGTTTCAAAAGTAATCAAGCTTCCCTCTTTTTATTATAATTGAACGAACGTTTGTATTTCTTATCAGCTTTAATGATTCTTTTCGTCAACTTGTGTCTGTTTTTGTACTTTCCATTACGATAATTGTTATCAAGCGTCTGGTAATGTTACAATTAATTTTAAGGTCAAAAAACTAGCTGAATTGGTTTTTAAACATATAAAATATAGAATTAGTCTTGCTCTAGCCTTGTCCTAGGCTTGCTCTGGCCATGCCTTAGCCTTGCCCTAGCCTAGCCCTAACCTTGGCTTAGCCTTGCCCTAGCCTTGATCTAGCCTTGCTCTAGCCTTGCCTAGCTTTTCTCCAGCTTTGGATCTGCCTTTTCCCAGCCTTGCCCTAGGCTTTCTCTAGCTTTGCCTTACCTTTCTTTTCTTTGCCCTGTACCAGCTTTAGCTTAGCCTAAGCAAAGTACAATTTTTAACCTGGCTCTAGTCTTATCTAGATTTACTGGTTTCTCATTGGGGATCTATCTTTAACTTTTAAACCTAAAACCAACAAGAATCGTTTTAAAACCAGGAAGTCTGTAGCAGTCACATGAAATTCATCTAGCCCATGTTTGTCTGATTAATCAGGAAGAACACTTAAATCAGACAAAACAATTCTAAACTTTTAATTAGTCAAAAAACGAACAGTCATAAAACCAAAAAAACAGGAATTGTACCTTATCAGTGTTCTTGTTTGTTTAGCTTAAAATAGCAATTGTCATATTGACCCAATAGAAAAAAATGTGTCAATATAACAATTGTAATCATAAGTGCCCTTGCCGTATTTTACAATAGTTTACAAAATATTACAAAATGAAATTTTTAGACCATTGTTACCTAAAAAAATATTTTTCGAGCTTGTGTCATATGGCTCTAAAAGAAGGCTTCATTCTTGGCCTGTCCTAAAACTTTAGCAAATTTGAAACGGACTAGACTAAAAAATTGAGTACAGTCCAGCCTCTATACAAGTCTAAAGTCATAGACAAAGACAAACCGTGTTTCAAAATTTTAAAATTTCAAAACAAGATTTCATTGCCACTTCAAAGCCAAACAGTTTATTTGCACTATTAACTTCTCTCCCTTGTTGGACCCTGCGGAAGTATTCAGACATTTTTTGGAAGCCCATGTGTCTAAACATGTATAAAAAAAGAAAAATTTGCGTGAAAATGTGCCAGCCGCTACCGGGCTTTTTCTGTTTTTTTTTTGTTTCAGATTTTTAAATTTCAGCTGAATTTAAAAATATATCTTATTTTAGGTTTAAATACAATATAAGAAAAAGACACGCGACATAAAAAAAAAATGCTAGTCTTAAACCACAGCTTTACTTAACCTTACGCTAGCCTTAAACCTGCCTTAGCATACAATAGCCTTGCGTTAGCTTTGCCCTAGCCTTGCCCTAGCCTTGCCCTAGCCTTGCCCTAGCTTTGCCCTAGCCTTGCCCTAGCCTTGCCCTAGCCTTGCCCTAGCCTTGCCCTAGCCTTGTCCTAGCCTTGCCCTAGCCTTGCCCTAGCCTTGCCCTAGCCTTGCCCTAGCCTTGCCCAGTTGTGCTAGACTTACGCTAGCTTTGTTCAAGCCTTGCTTTATTCGTGTCCTAGTACTGCCCTATAATAGCTATGATCTAACTCTAGCTTTACTTCACCCCTGTCCTAGCCTTTACATAGCTATATCATGCATCTAACTTAGCTTTATGTCTAGCTTGGCCTTGTCTTACACCTCATACTATTACGGTATAAGCTTTACGCTTTTTAATAGCATAGTCATTCCTACAGATTATTGTAATATTATTTCCGGAAAGCTCTTTTTATAAACTGACCCACTCTTTTTTTAGCTACCCTTATTTTTTATTACAACAGCAATTTGAAAAAAACTGATTTTTTATCTTGTTTTAGTAGTAATATGTATTCAGAACGTTGTGTTATTCAGGTCAAGGATGACTGTATTTTACTTAATTTTCTACGCTACTTTTTGTAATTACTAGGAGGTATTGAGTTTTTTGGAACGGATTTTTTTGTAAGATGTTTTTTTTTGTTTTGAAAAGAAAGTTTTTGCTATTTTTTCTATGTAAATAAAGTTCTTTCCATTTTCTGTTTTTTAAAGATAGTTCTTGTCATATTTTGTTTCGTAAAGAACTTAATTGCTATTGTTTGCTCTGTAAAAAAAGTTCTTGCTATTTTTTGTTTTGTAAAGAAAGTTCTTGCCATTTTTTGTTCTATAAAGGAATTTTTTGCTTTTATCAATTTTTTTACTAGTATCTTTTGTACAAGTTGAACACTTCCTCTTCTGCCATTTTATAACCAATTTTCTCATTAATTATCCACTTTTTTGTTATACATTCGTAACCAAGTCACTTTCCATGCTTTTTTTCATTTTTATCCGCAGGCGTTTTTTGCATTATGTGTGAAGAACGTCGAGACTCTTGACGGGGCGCCGCCGTGCCACTTGGAACGGGGGGAACGGGGGTTTTTTTTCTTGCGGCTAAAAAGACAAAAATGCAACAAAAAATGTGTGAAAATTTAATTTAATGGCCAATGGGAACAAAGTGGCATTATTTGTTTCGAGTTTTACTCAGTACGGAAGAGACACGACGCGCCTTTGTTTAGGTTTTTATGTAAAGAGTAAACGGATTTGGAAGTGCGAATGGAGACTACAGTAGGCACGTTAGGAAATACCCTACCCTACCCTACCCTATCCGGTACTCTAAGTCCGACCACACAACTAGTCTTATATTGCACTGTGAGCCTTGTTGTGCTTTAAACTCTGCCGTGTTTTATTGGGTACAGTATGTTAGGCCCTACCGTACCGTAAGCCATACAGTATTTTACACCTTGCCGTTATTTGGGCTTTACATTATCTTAAGCTCTACTGGTGCACTAGCCCTTGCCGTTATTTTTAATTTTACTAACTCTTACAGTAAGCTTTACCGTATCCTAAGCCATAAAGTACTTTTAGCTATACGGTGCTCTTTTTGATGCTAAGCTCTTTTGTACTGTAAGCTTTGCCATACTATAAAGCTTACAGTGCTATACGCTCTACTGTGCTTCTTCTTATTTTAAGCCTTAAGGTATCATAAGCTTGCAGTACATTAAGCTTTTCAGTACTATACGCCCTATTGCGTTCTCTGTATATTGTGCCATACATTTTTGCTTTAACACGTAAAAACTTTTGAAAACACAATTTTTATCACCTTACTATAACTCTAGACTGTGTAACATATTGTTCAACTTTTTACGACAATCATACTGTAAGTTTATACTTTAACAATATCTATATTTAACTGTTTTATGTTTACTAATCTGCTTAAGAAATTATAATACTTTATTCAATTTCCGTCGTTCGAACTTTATAAAAAGAGAGGGAATCCAGTCGTTTTTTAATCTCATAGCACAGACAAGCACACGCGCTTATTAATTTATGAAAATCTGAACTTTTAAACTTTGCTAATGCACTGGAGGTAATGGTAATGGTGTTCATATAAAAAATGAAATAAGAATGTAATTATGGACTAGTTGGTCTTGCTTGTGTCAAAAAATGTTATAGTGACGTAGAAAAGGCAAGAACTTTCTTTACAGGACATAAAATGGCAAGAAATTTCTTTACACAACAAGAAATGGCAAGAACTTTGTTTAAAAAATAAAAAATAGCAAGAACTTTCCTTACAAAAGAAGAAATAGCAAGAATTTTCTTTACAAAACAAAAAATGGCAAGAACTTTCTTTACAAAACTTAAATTGGCAAAAACTTCCTTTACAAAACAAAAAATGGCAAGAACTTTTTTTACAAAACAAATAGGGACAAAAACTTTCTTTACAGATTCTAAACAAGCAATAATTTTGAATTTTTGAGTTTATGACAACTAAAATTTAGTACGCTGATCAAATATTGTAGTATAACACTAAAGAACACATGCTTCTCTCTGTCATTTTTTACATTTTCAGAATCCATAGTTAGTTAAGAGTACATAATTTTTACCCTGGCACGAACACGTAAATATGTTTCACGGCTTCAAAGCGTGGGAATTTTGGAAAGAACGGCAAAGAACGTTGAAACACTGTCGTGAACAGTAGAAATTTTAGAATTTTAGGCTTTTTAAGGCTTCCGGGGATTGTGGCGGATGTTTTTAAATTACAAAAACTTATTTTTTATAACTAGGTAAAATTTTTTTTGAAACTTAAAAAGTATTGATTTTTTGAATAGGATAGGTAACATGCTCATTTAGTTGATGTTTAGCATAAAATTTAGTACAGAAATAGTTTTTTCATTGTATGTAATAACACCTGCTATGATGCATAGTATACTTGGCAGTTTTTCAATGTGGTGTGGGAATGTAAAATACGTTATTTAAAATTTCTTATTTATAAAACGTCTTGCTAAGATTTAATTTTTTACTTTACATTATTTTTTTGTCCATGCCTTACTTATTCGTACCCTATCTCGTGTCCTAGCCTTGTCTTATCTTTGACCTAGCCAAGCCCTAGCCTTGTCTTATCTTTGACTTAGACATGGCCTAGCCTTGCCCTAGCCTTGCCCTAGCCTTGCCCTAGCCTTGCCCTAGCCTTGTC